TTTTCTTTTTGCTTATGTGGTGCTGAGGAATCGAACCCAGGGCCTCAGGCATGCAAGGCAAGTGCTCTACCACTGAGCCAACTTCCCAGCCCCCTAAAACCAATTATTTTAAAATTATTTTATATGGGGTGGGAAGTTGGCTCATTGGTAGAGTGCTTGCCTTGCATGCATGAGGCCCTGGGTTCTATTCCTCAGCACCACATAAGCAGAAAAAAGCCAGCAGGGGTGCTGTGGCTCAAGTGGTAGGGCGCCAACCTTGAGCTGAAGAGCTGAGGGATAGCGCCCAGGCCCAGAGTTCAGCCCCCATGACTGACAAAAATAAAAATAAAATTATTTATATAAAAATATGTACATTAGCTCTATTTTTTGTCCTCATTCAGAAATACTACTTTTCATTATACTGACTTAAATACTACTGTTTTATTTTAGGTCTGTGGAAAAACATTCATCTATAAGCATGGTCTAAAATTACATCAGAGTCTCCATGAATCACAAAAGCAATTCCAGTGTGAACTGTGTGTTAAGTCATTTGTTACCAAACGGAGTCTTCAGGAACATATGAGTATTCACACAGGTAAAAATAAATTTATATAGTTTATTTTATCTATTTACATTTACTATTATCAATTGTACTGGTAAGAAATTATATTGATGGTTGTATATGTTTAGTTTTCACTTATTTCTTTATATAGTTGCAATATATTTCAAAATTACTCATCTTTTGTCTTTCTTTTTCCCTTACCCTTTCCCCTTCCAACTCCTATAATATGCAGGTTTTGTTTGTTTTTTTAGTAATGAGACATTGAATTAAAGGTGTTCTTAAATATAATTTTAGAGCTTATTTGTATGGAAATATTCATGTGGAAAATGTGTACTAAGCTGGGCATTTTGATGCATATAATAATCCCAGCTGCTTAGCTAGGGCCAGTGGCTCATACCTGTAATCTTAGCTACTCAGGAGACAGATCTGAGGATCATGGTTCGAAGGCACACTGGGGAGGAAAGTCCATGGGATTTATCTCCAGTTAACTACCAGAAACCAGAAGTGGGACTGTGGCTTGAAGTGGTAGAGTACTAGCCTTGAGCAAAAGAACTCCGGGACAGCACCCAGTCCTTGTGTTCAGGCTCCTGAGAAACCAGATTCCCAGCTACTCAGAAGTTGGACACAGGATAATCAAGAGTTCAAGGGCATCCTAGGCACCTATCTTAAAAAAAAAGCAAACAAGAAGTCAGTTATAGCTCAAGTAAAGAGAATCCTGGCCTAACGTGTATAAATAAGGCCCTGGGTTCATTCCTCAGTACTACAAAAAAGGGGGGGGGTGGAGAAAATGTGTATTGGTTTTAAATCATTAGAGTCTTCACATTTTTTTTTTCTGAATCTTCTTTAATATATGAGAATAGAATACAGCTGAAGATATGAGTCAAGTGGTAGAGCACCTGTCTAGCAAGTACAAGGCCCAGAGTAATAATACCCTAGTAACACCTTGCCCCCTAAAAAAGAGGATAGATACATTATAATGGAACAGGGCAAATTATATATACCCTTCATCCAACTTTAATAATTATCATCTCAAATGCAGAAAGCACCTTTTTTTCTTTTTTTTTGGCCAGTCTGGGGAGCTCAAGGCCTGGGCACTGTCTCTTACCTTCTTTTGCGTAAAGCTAGCACTCTACAGTTGAGCCACAGTGCCACTTCTGGCTTTTCTGTTTATATGGTACTGAGGAATTGAACCCAGGCCCTTCATACATGGTAGGCAAGCACTATACCACTAAGCCACGTTCCCAGCCTGCAAAAAGCATCTGTTAGGACTGAAATACTTGAAGCCTCTTCTAAAAGTGAATGCACACAGCCTGTAAGTGCCACTGCTACTTCATTTTTAGCATTTTTTAAACCATAAAGGAAATTCAACCTAAAGCTATCATATTTTATTAATACCGTATCATTTTGTGCTGAAGAATCCAGTTAGGAAGAAGTGGCTACTGATGTTCTGATTAAAATCTACAAAGGTTTTGTTTGTACCTCTGTTAACTTTGAATGTTGCATACCAGCAGCTCTGAATTTCCTACGCTATATACTTTGTGCTAATCCATTTGAAATCTTTACTGGCTGTATGCAAAGAGAAAAATAATAAATTTTTCTTTTTTTGTGAGTCATGGGGATTGAACTGAGGGCCCTGGCGTTGTCCCTGAACATTTTTTTGCTCAAGGCTAGTGCTGTATCACTTTAAGCCACATCACTACTTCCTGTTTTCTGGGGATTAATTGGAGATAAGAGTCTGACTGACTTTCCTGCTCCAGCTGCTTTAAATCACAATCCTCAGATCTCAGCCTCCTGAGTGGCTAGGATTACAGGGGTGAGCCAGAGTGCCTAGCTGAATTTGGTTTCTTTAAGGAAGCTAAGTTTATACGTTTTAAAGTTTTTTTTTCATTTTTTAATATATATTTTATTGTAAAAATACTGTACAGAGAGGTTACATTTACATGAGTAAGGTAATGAGTACATTTCCTGTTGAGCATTATTACCTCCTTTGTTTTTCCCCTACCATCCCTTCCCTCCCCACATTTTAAAGTTTCACCTACAATTTTGTTTTTCATGTATTTGTATATTGAAATATCTTGTGTATATCAATAACAAGAATAAGCAGTTTTGTTTCAATAAAAACAATTATTGGACTGGGAAGGTGGCTCAGTGGTAGAGTGCATGCATGAGGCCCTGGGTTTGATTCCTCAGCACCACATAAGCAAAAAAAGTCGGAAGTGGTGCTGTGGCTCAAGTGGTAGAGCGCTGCCTTGAGCTGAAGAGCTGGGGGACAGTGCCCAGGCCCAGAGTTCAGACCCCAGGACCAACCAAAAAACAAAACAAAACAATTATCATTTCATGAAATGGTCATGCTTTAAAAAAGTTAAATAGTAGGCAGATGTAAATGTCAGTGTGGTAGATAGCTTACAATTTTAAGGGAATTTTCAGTCCAAACATACCTCACTTCATATGTAAAGCAAGAATGTAGAAATGGCTAAAGAATGATTGTGTAAGCATATAATTCTTAGGAAACTGGCCTTTGCCAGTACAATCATACTTTGCATAATGATGCAAATCCCACAGTGGACTACATGTGCATATACAAGGGTAGTCTCATTAGGGTATATCACCCAGTGATGTCATAGATCAGACACACTGTGATGTTGGTACAATGATGAAATTGCTTAAGAATATATTTCTCAGAAGAAATCTTTGTTGGTCAGCTTTTTGTCACTGTGACCTAAACAAAAAGAAGGAAAAGTTTATGTTTTGCTTTGGGTTTAAAGTGAGGCAAGATAAGTAGGAGCATGTTGGGTAAGACTGCTCACCTTCTGGAAGCAGACAGAATGAGAAGGGCCAGCAGTCCTACATCTTTCTAGGGCATGTGCTCATGACGTGCTTCCTCCAAGTAGGCCCCACTTATTTTTCACTGCCTCCAGGAATGCCATCATATTACCAATCTATCGAAGGATTAATCTGTTGATTAGGTCAGAGATCTCAGAATCCAACCACTTCCCCAAGCGTATTAGCTGGGAACTTAAGCTCCCAAGGATCCCCATGGGCCTATGAGGGACATTTCAAACCATTACATTCTATCCCTGCCCACAAAGGTGTATGTTGAGCTCATTGTACAAAATGCATTTCGATCTACCTTTAAGATACTCCCATAATTGCTCAGAAGTTTAAGTCTAAAGTTTCTTCTGAGACTCAAGACAAACACTTAGCTGTCAGCAACTATAGAAACAGCAAACAAGTTAAAATACGTCCCAAATACAATGACACAGAGTAGACATACCCTTTGCAGAAATAGGAAAATAGAAAGGAGGAATCAGTCTAAAGAAATACTGAATTACAGCAGTGGAGACATTAAAATCCTCCAGCTCCGCAGTGCTCTGAATTTGGCTGTTGGGGCGCATGGTGTGATGTGAGCTCTCACATGGCTTGGAGAGCTCTTCTCCAAAGCCTTGTTGTTTGCAACCTTAAGCTGGCTCTGCTTAGTGCCTGTGGCTTTTATTGGCAGATGTTCTGTGTTCTTGGCATCTCCAATATCCTGGTATCTATATTCAATCTTCTGGCTTAAATTACAGCTTCACACATTGTCTTCCCAAGGATTCCCCCTGAGGACTGTGACCCCCATCAATCTTGCCTGGCATCCCAGGCTTTCCTTGAGAATCTGAAACCTCTAATGCTCCGTAACTGTTACATTCACATGTTTTTAAAAACCAAGGTTGTGTGGTCAGTGAGAGGTGTGCTGTCAGCTCAAGCAAGCAGCAAGGCCCTCTTGGATTATGCTGCAGTTGAACCAGTACTTGGATGACTAAGCACCACATAATAATTCCATATTTGCCCCAGTATAAGCAGAGCTTTTTTCAGATGCATTCTCTTCTCAAAGCAAAGTGTTTGAAATGAGTAAAAACCTTTTCACTCCTCAGCTGTGACAGATTAGGGCGAGATGCTCTCAAGATACCTTCTTGCACTCCTGTAAAGCATGTGGCCTCCTCCTAGTGCAGCCAGTCTTAATAACAGCTAGATTTTGTTTTTGTAGTCCCAACTCCATGTCCTCTTTTTTTTTTTTTTGGTTTGGTTTGGCTGGTTGTAGGACTTGAACTCTGGGCTTGGGCGCTGTCCCTGCGCTCTTCAGCTCAAGGCGAGCTCTCTACTGCTTGAGCCACAGCACCACTACTGGTTTTCTGGTGGTTTATTGGAGATAAGAGTCTCACCGAGAGTCTGGGAAAGTGGCTCAGTGGTAGAGCGCTTGCCTTGCATGTATGAGGCCCTGGGTTCGATTCCTCATCACCACATAAGCAGAAAAAGCTGGAAGTGGTGCTGTGGCTCAAGTGGTAGAGTGCTGGCCTTGAGCTGAAGAGCTGAGGGACAGCGCCCAGGCCCAGAGTTCAAGCCCCACAACCAACAACAACAACAACAAAAAGTCTCACCGAGTTTCTTGCCTGGGCGGCTGGCTTTGAACCATGATCCTCCTATTTTAGCCTACTGAGTAGCTACGATTACAGACATGAGCCACTGGTGCCTGGCTTCCTTTTTTGTCCAGACTTTAAAAACTTTCAAATCTTTGTGCTTTGCCTTTTGTCTTCAGTTCTCTGTGAATTTGGCCAATAGGAAACAGCAAAGCTGGGCACCAGTGGCTACCCCTGTAATCCCAGCTACCGAGAAGGCTGAGATCTGAGGATTGTGGTTCAAAAGTCATCCAGGCAGTATTTGTATTTCCAACTAAGCACCAAAAAAAGTGGTAGAGTGCTAGCTAGCCTTGAGCTAAATAGTTCATTGACAGCACCAAGGCCCAGTTTAAGCCACACAACTGGCGTGCGCACGCACGCACACACACACACACACGCACGCGCGTGCGCGTGCACACACACACACACACACGACACAACAAAATTCACTATCCAAATACTGTGTTGCCTTGAAATTTTGTTTTTCTACCAAATGAATTAGTGTGCTACATTTTTTTGGCGGGGGGGGGGCACTTCTGGTTTTCTAGTGGTTTATTGGAGATAAGAGTTTCACGGCTGGGAAGGTGGCTCAGTGGTAGAGTGCTTGTCTTGCATGCATGAGGCCCTGGGTTCCATTCCTCAGCACCACATAAGCAGAAAAAGCCAGGAAGTGGTACTGTGGCTCAAGTGGTAGAAAGCTAGCCTTGAGCTTCAGCTCAAGGAAGCACCCAGGCCCAGAGTTCAAGCTTCACGACCAACCAGGAAAAAAAAAAGTTTCACGGACTTTCCTGCCTAGGCTGGCTTTGAAACATGATCCTCACATCTCAGCCTCCTGAGTAGCTAGGATTACAGGCATGAGCCACTGGCATCTGGCTAGTTTGCTACTTTTTTTTTT